TTTTTTGGAGGCTATATAAATACCGATTTCAACCATTTCAACGTCAGGCTTTGAAGGCCTTTCACCATTTCCACCCTCTTTCAGGTCTGACTCGCAGAGCTACATCCGCGCGCAGTGGGACCAACATGAGGGCAACCTTGGCAGCTGGGCAGTGGTGGCCAGTGGTGGCCATGGATTTGTTTGGTTTTGTGGCTGTCCTGAATGGTCTTGAAGCTACATTTCTGGGTGCTTCTTCCAAAAGTAGAGCTCCTGATTGGGATGATCCTGTATCATCCCAGTTACGGGGTTGTGTTCTTGGTTGTTGTGCAACGATCATCGCACGAATCCCAAGTTGATGACCAATGGTTCGTAATGTTCATCGACTATAAGCCAGCTGTGCCTAGTTACGATTCCTGTTCGATTGGCTTGATCCTCCCAGTAGAACGTGTTGATGGGTGTTGAGGGTCCGAAGCTACGGTGGTCTATCTGCAGAGTTGGGTGGTCTCAAACCAAGCGCATTGGACTGGTAGAATGCGCCATGGTGTGGCCCAACATCGAATGGACACCTACATATCCTGATGATTTTGAGCAATTACGCTGGTGGTGACCCAATGGTTTGATCTATACTGAGATGCTTTTGCATTCTGGATGATCCTATACTCACAATAGGCAGAATCGGCACTACTTGCACACTCAGGACAACCAATTTGGCATAATCCAGCACAAATGGAAGATGTAGATGCTCACGTTTAATCACCTTGAAAAAATGGAAATACAGCTTGGGCCAATGCGGATGATATTTGTTGTGTCCAGATATGAAGTGCTTTTCTTTCAATTTAGAGGGTGACACAGGTTACGGGTCATGCCACCATTTCTCTTGGTTGAAACCTTTGTGGTTGTGGGGAAGAACGATATTGATCGAGTATCCCTGCTACCAACTGATGTACTGGGGGGGTTGTGAATATGCTCGCCTGTCGAACAAACAACTGGTTCGGCTTTGCAGGCAGCCTGCCTCCTTTTGTTCAAGGACAGGGCTGCATCAGTGGAAATTGTTCCCTTTTGAGCCCAATTGTGCTGTAAGCGGTCGCTGCAAGCAATCGCAGGGAAGATGTCCATGCCAGGGATGGCGCAAACATCTTCTCTCATTCTCAGCCTGCTTGTTCTTGGTGAAATGGCAATATGTATATGTAGGGACCAAATTCCTCACCCAATCGCTCGCACATTTTGAGTCTCATCCAGTATTTTGGGGTTCTGAGCCATCTCCATCAGCTGGATGAAGCCATCCATTCGTGGAGAAAATCCTTTCGACCCTGAGGTGTCGACTGCAAGACTGCCCGCAGGACGTGTGCACCAGCTGGAGAGGGATCATGCCTACGACAGCCCCGAGTACCAGGCCATCAATGCAGTGCTCACGACCTTCTTCACGCTGCGGACGGCGCCTGCTCCAGATGCCTGGAGAAATAAACACGCCCAGCACGCAGAAATGGGATGTTCAAGAAACAGACCATGGGGATTGAACTAGCACCCCACTAGAAATTGAACTTTGGACTCTGCAAAGAAGGCAGGGTTTCAATGATGATCATCCTTTTTGGTGCCTTGTTCATCCTATTTCGTGAATAGGTTCGCAACATTTCAGGCCTTGGTGTCTTTTCCGTCAAATCCGAAGCCAGGATTGCTTCGTCTACTCCAATGTGGGTCTCAACCGTGACATCTACGTCGGAATGCAGGGCGCTTCAGAGTCGCTCAGTTGACCCTGGCAAGTACGACAGTTGTGACCTGCTTTTAACGCCTAATACATGTACAAATTACTGCGCAAATACATATACATACACATACATATATGTATTATGTGTTTATATATATATATATAATATGGAGAGAGGAGTCATGGGATGCAAACCGTACCAGCGATTCCAGCGATTCTTTTGGGTGTTGATTCGATTGTGCAGGAACTCGAGTTGGGGAATTTTGGGAGTTGAAAGTGGGGTGCAATCACTTCAGAGCCCTCCCAGACAGAATCTCCATATTTTGTCCAGGGTGGTGCTCAGCATTGGGAGCATGTGACGGTCAACCATCTTCCCGGAATGAAGCTTAGTTTGTGCTACTCTCTCATGCATCCTTAAGTTAGCAAGTGGAGAACAACTTGCACAAGTTTCCGCCACCAGTTTTCACCCAACACTTTGCGCTCACGCCCATCATTCTCTGTGATTCGGGTGAGTTCCCTAGATAAAGTCTTCAAGTTGGTTACATATTATAGAGTTCTCAAACCATTCAATGAATGGCCCAGATTGACACACCCAAATTGGAGGTAATGTGCCATACAAGGCCATATTCAAGACCCTTGGATGGGCTTGGCTGTACATAGACGATACATAGGTTTAGGCATCTCCATATCAGGTTGCTCACATTTCTCCGCACTTAATCTGGCGGCTCCAGGTTCACCATGCATGGCGTGTTGGGTGACTTCAACGTCACAGCACAGCTTCATCAGATCAAGGCCTAGTAGTGGTGCTGTCGCGACAGCTGAGAGATGATTTATACATGGGAAGTTGCACCCTGCAACGGCATGCAGCTGACCCACAAGTCATTAAGAAGACAAGTCACTAAGACGTCAGTAGAAGTAACCAATCATCACAGGTGTATGATTCCAATCGCACGGGGTTTGGTTTCCAACCATGCTGATGAATGTACAGGAGTTTGTCCAAAACCAGGAGCCAACAAATTTCCAGATTTGCTTGTTCCTATTTCAAAAATTTCTTTTGGTTCCCAAAGATCAAGAAGCAGATTCTCTTACAGTAGATTCCATAGAGTAGCGCTAGAATCTGATCGCGTTTTGTGTTTGCAAGACCAAAACCCCGTTCTTGGACCCAAACCTATTTGTTCAAACGGGAAAAGATATTTTTCGGTCGCAAAAAGCGTGACATGCTGGGGGAACATCCTTCACTAGGGACCGCATCCTAGCAGCAAGGACGCTACTAGGGGCTCCTGGCATCGCTACTAGCGATCGGACGCTACCTAGGAGCTCGCTTGGTCAACATCGTTTCGGACCAGGTGCCGGTGCTTCTGAGCTCGGGGCGTTTTGATACCATGCGACCCTCCGTGGTGCGCGCCATGCAGCAACAGCTCCCAAACTCGGAGTGGAAGATGTGGCTTGGAGATGGGAGCCGTGCTTCAAAAGTGGCATCACCGGTGTTTGGAATTAGGTTTTGGTATCTGGAAATTGAACTTTGCAAGCAAAATCCTGAATCGAAAGCTGCTTTTATGGTGACAATTATCACACACCATCAAAACAGGTTCGGGACTTTAATGAATCAGCGGTCGCGGCTGGTGTCATGTTATTTTCAACCCTTGCTCTGCCTTTGATGATGGGCTCCCATTTGGCATCTGCGTTTCAGGTCGGTGGAAAGTGCATCAAGCCACAAGCAGTTTTGGATGCTGTCACCAATTTTGAAGTGGCCTCATCAGTACTTGATTGAACCAACAAGTTAGCTGACACATGCTTTAACAAGGTGAACAGTTGCCGACGGAATGCAGCCCCTTCCATCACTTGTATTTACTACATGATGAGGCCCACCTTCTTTTTCTTGCTTCTTGTTCTTGTCGTCTTCTGCTCTCTTAAAGCCATTTGAAGGGAAGGGCCCAGAAGCTATCACACACGATGCTAATAACGCAATCCAACCCCTCTGCATATCTAGCATCGTGAGAGTCTATCTTGGGCTATGTTGAGTCTATGTTGACCAAAAAACACATTTATATATTTTTTTTCAACTTTTCAAAAACGATAAATGTACAGGAAAAAACACCCACCCCTCCAAGCTAAAGCTTACACAGCTCCCGCCAATACTTCCGGTTTAGTGCGTGCCTTTTTGGATCATGCACGGCATCTTCGGTGCGGGCAGACTTTTGTGGTGTCATTCTATGACCAATGTCGATGTCGTAGCTCTGCTTTTCTGAAGCATCGACCAAAAGCAAAACGCCAAGGTTTCCTCATTCGGGGCATGTCTCCATGATCGACGATGCAGACGAGCACTTGCGAGTGGTGGCCGATTTTCTTCGCAGAGTCCACACTGCACACGTCATGGGCATCCACTTTGTCCCCAAAGATTGGGATCAACTGAATCAACTGCCAGAACCTGTTGGCCTCTCAGCCACCAGCACCGCCTTCCCAGCTTTCACTGCGATATTTGCGCTGATTCTGGGTGTGTTTCTGGGCCGTGGCACCAGAGGCAAAAGCCAGGAGGCATATACTAGACTTGAGTAGGGCATGGAATGGGGTGTTCGTCCAAGTTTTTAAAACACGCCAATCCGCCAATCAGTTTCTTTAACGCTTTTCAATTCTGCCCCAAAGCTGGATTACACGTCATGGACGGATGGGCTGGTGCTTTACCAAGTGAGGCCTGCGGTCCTCGGGATCACCATCCAACCACGCGCTGAATGCGCTGCGTAGGACAACTTGTAGTTCCGGAACGTCTTGCGTGCAATGCAGGAAAAACTCGATAGACTCTGGGCAGCTGCATGGTCAAATTTAGATTTTCCACTGGTTTAGGAGCGCCCATCATGCAGTGGCATAGTGGACATCAATCAAGCTTATGCGCATTTGGACAAACCATAAAGAAAGGGAATGTTGTTTAGTGGACATGGTCGCTCGAGGACAGACATGGTCGCTCGAGGACACCTTTTTAAAGTTTTAGATGTTGGAACAGGTCTTGGATGTGTCCTATGCGCGGTAAATGCAAACACCGATGCTTAAGCCTGGTGTAAATGGAAGCCGGCTCAAACTGAGGGATTCAGAAGCCAAGTTTCAGCACGAGGTTTCGGCCTCTTAAGGTTCGCAAACATGTTCCTCGCTAGAAGGTCCATGGCTGGAACGGCAAACTTTCAATTAGAGCTCCATACGGACAGTTCAAATGTGTCTATTGTCCACCTCTGGGCTTATTGTAGCAAAAGTCTCCGAAGAAAACTTGAACATCTCAGTTTGGCTCAAGGTCTGTCAGGCCTCTCGCTGGCCGTGAAATGAGCTGATGGCTCGCACTTTGCTTTTCTTGTGGATCCTGGTGCCTGTCACTGGGAAGTGGTGCAACGTGGATGGGTCAAAATGTCGAGGACGTTGGAATGATTCTTGATGCCGATTAGCGGCTTTGGATCAGAAGTTCGACCCAGATGTTTGCATGGGCCCGTGGAATCCCAAAGTCGAAGATAACTGTTCTTGTGCAATTTTCGTTTTGAGTCTGTGCCAGGTCCATGAGCCATGGCTTGCTGCAGCGCATCTAAGGAGCTTGAACGATTTTTTCCACTCAACTTAGCAAATGATTGGTATGGCTTCTCATACCCAGTCGATTGGGACGGAGACGGACGAGTGGATGTGATTGATGTGATTCATGCTGAGACCAACTACGCCAGGGTCCCTGATGGCCCTCATGGTCTCTCGACTCTGTTGCAGTGTACAGCCGTTGAAATCACCATGGAAATGAGTGAAGCATGACATGATCAATATAAATATAAACAAACTGTGTGTTTCTGGATGTTTTTGGTTCCTGACTCCCTCAGAAGTCGTGTTGTTTCAGCTGCCACCAGCAGACGACATGCTGACAAAGATCGAGATTGCTTCCGATTGCTTCCTAGCCCTATATCATTTTGTATATCTGTCTATCTATCTATTGATCGATCGATATACATACATACGTACTTACGTACCTGCATACCTACATACCTACATACCTACGTACCTACCTCCCTACCTGCCTGCCTGCCTGCCTACATACATACATATGCAATGTTCGCAAACCTGCTCTGACCTGTCTCACTGGAGCCTTTGACTTGCTGCAAACTCGCCTGCGCTCCGGGCACCGGATGCCGGTCTGTTGGAGAGGTGCGGAGGACCGTGGGTGACCGATCAGGACGCGGCCCGTTCACCTTTTGCTGCTGCTGCTGCTGCGAGATGAGCACTTTGGAGCTTGCGTGCTGGTGCAGCTGCAAAGTGCCGCTGCTATAGATGTCTATGGCAGTGTGCGTTTTGGAGCCTGAGTGCTGGTGCCGCTGCAGGCTGCTGCTGCCAGATGTTGACGGCCGAAGATTTTGGAAGCGCGCGGGAAAAAGGAGAGTGGTGGGAGATGTGGCAGCCTTGCGGGTCGTGGTCCCAAAAAGGCTACGGCCGCGAGCGACGCGTTGCTTCCTAGCGGTCCTAGCGTGTGTGATCACAGAAGATTTTCATTCATGCATGGCTCCCAATGTGGTAATTTTGTCGTCAACTTTCTGAACCGCGGTGGGCGCTGCGGAAGGTATGAGTCCCCGCCGGACCAAACTCTACGGATACCCTGTTGCATCTCAGCGCTGTTCTGAAAGTACCACCGGCCAGGGGCCGGTCAAAAAGCGGCGTGCGGAGGAGGCGGGTGACTCGGTAGACCGTTGAGAGGATGCTGGCACATTGTATGATTGGTTGGCGCAGGAGACCTGCCCTATGTGTGGCCTCCTCAGCATCCTGGCCACCAACAACACATTTTACATGGGCTATCCACCAACAACACATTTTACATGGGCTATGTCTTGAAGAAGGTGGCCGGGGCCTGCGTTCACTAGAAGCCGAAGGCGGACTTCGTCGCAGAGCCAACCTCCAAATGTAGAGTCCTGTACAGCCCTCACCGTAAGTCAATGCTTGCGCGAACAGAACGGCGTGGCAATGCCCTTTCACACACACAACAAAGATTTTCAATCGTGTTAATTTCTAGATGCAGCTGCGCCGCGAGAGCCAACGTAGTCTTTTGTTGTTCTGTGCGTTGCTGCAGCGCAGGCTGAGTATGTGGCTGGCTGTTCAAGTGTGCAGGGTGCCCCAAGCAGACGGTGAGCAAAAGGAGCAAGGCTAGATGGAGGGTCTGCAGAGTGCTGGCCTGGCCTAGCCCTTGTGCAACAGCTTCTCCATCTTCCAGGATCCAATGCGCGTTGGGTTGGCGAACAGCCTGAGGCGAGTCTTCACATGGACGGTATGCAGACCGCAAGATTGATAAAGTTCTCACTTTTCAGCTGCGTTCAAGTGTTGCTTGCTGCGTTTGCTGTGAGGAACGCGCGCTTGCGACCGAAAACAGAATTAGACTTCGCCATTTTCTCCGGGCTTTAAACATCATCGCCAAAAAGAATGAGAAACTAGGGAGGGGTTGAACACAAGTGAGTTGTTGATTAGAATGCAGGTTTGAGGCTTGTCTTTATCGCTGCTCCTTTCTGCTGTCTTCTTTGCAGGCTATCAAACAGTTCGCCTCCCGCCTTTGATCTTGCCATCTCCATAATGTATGAATATAGTTCCAACCCTCCTCTCTTGACGATGCTGGAGATCACTTCTTTGCTGATTTAAAACAAGATGGAACCCACGAACCCGAATGAAAACACGATCGAAAAACTACATATGTCCAAATGACACTCTTGTAGGACACTCTTGTGGGACACTCTTCTGGGACACTCTTGTAGGACACTCTTGTAGGACACTCTTGTGGGTCACTCTTGTAGGAAACTCTTTCAGGACACTCTTGTAGGACACACTTAAAGGACACTCTTGTGGGACACTCTTGTGGGACACTCTTGTGAGACACTCTTGTAGGACACTCTTGTGAGACACTCTTGTAGGACACTCTTGTGGGTCACTTGCAGGACACTCTTGTGGGACACTCTTGTGGGACACTCTTGTAGGACACTCTTGTGGGACACTCTTGTAGGAAACTCTTGTGGGACACTCTTGTGGGACACTCTTGTGGGGCACTCTTATAGGACACTCTTGTGGGACACTCTTGGGGGACACTCTTGCAGGACACTCTTGTGGGACACTCTTATAGGACACTCTTGTGGGATACTCTTGTCGGACACTCTTAAGGGCCACTCTTGTGAGACACTCTTGAGCGACACTGTTCCGGGACACTCTTGTGGAACATTTTTGTGGGGCACTCTTGTGGGACACTCTTGTAGGACACTCTTGTCGGACACTCTTGTAGGACACTCTTGTGGGACACTCTTACACGACACTCTTGTAGGACACTCTTGTGGGACACTCTTGTAGGTCAACCATGTGGGACACTCTTGTAGGACACTCTTGTGAGACACTTGTGGGACACTCTTGTAGGACACTCTTATGGGACACTCTTGTAGGACACTCTTGTGGGACACTCTTGTGAGACACTCTTGTGGGACACTCTTATAGGACACTCTTGTGGGACACTCTTGTAGGAAACTCTTGTGGGACACTCTTGTAGGACACTCATACTCTTGTCGGACACTCTTAAGGGACACTCTTGTGAGACACTCTTGAGCGACACTGTTGCGGGACACTCTTGTGGGACATTTTTGTGG